TATAATCGTATCTGTGTTTGCAGTTTTATCTGCTCTCAATAAAAAAAGGTTATTTATTAACAAACTATGTCTTAGTTTACATGTAGTGTATATGTATCTTATTTAAATAATACGTGGCCATAGACGACGGCAGTGTTTGTGTGTAACTTAGAATTTTATAGGCTCGCAAAGTCATTAACACGAAAATGTATGTACCTAAGTCATAAAGCCTGACGACACTTAACGTTCATTCATTTGCTCAATTGACAATGAAGACACTTTTCTTAAGTCACTCAATTATCTTCAGGCATTCCTATAAAATTTGTTATTATAAATAGAACTGGGTTATTTGCTTATCGCAGTGATAAGCACGTGTGCACCACAAACGCTTCTATAAATTTCATTCATCAAAGCAACCTCAAAGCTAAGGCACACGTCTTGACTTAAAACGCGCTTCATTCAAGCGCCTTCAACAACGGACACACGCTATACAGATTAGAAGTGGCAATCAATGAATTTTGAATTGATGAATCGAAAAGCGGTTAGAATGGGGAGCACTGTGTGTGTGATCATACCTCCAAGAGTGATATTCAAATTGGGGGTATTCGAGCAACGGAGAAGTGTTCGGCTGAGATTGTGTGTTCGTGGAAATATTTACTAAGCATTTATTAGCGTAATCTTTCTGTGAAAGAAATAATTCACCATATTCTTTACACTCAAAATTATTGATCTCCTTTTACATTTTTAACCTACTATCTACCTAAATACGTACCTGTCACGCTGAAAGTAGTCAATGCTTTCACTTGCCGCTTTAAAGGACACCGCCATCAACGGTAGCCTGTGAAAATAGGACGTATCTGTGCGCTCCCACTGCCAGAACTGCTCTGATCTTGCCGCTCCAATGCACTTGTCTACTACATCCTCTTACCTGTATTAGCAAAACTCAATGAATATATATGTATTCAGGTTCGTAGGTATTCCACTTCTGAATATTGCGAACTCATGCTGTGCAATTGAGCCGTACGCAGGCGTTGCACTTGTTTCTATTCGTAAAATTTATTGCACTAAAATCGAACGTAAATATGTACACCCGCGATGGTTCCTTAAGATTTTCCCGCTTGTGCGTTTATTGTTCCAGTTTTAATTTCGACCAATTAAGTGGCGTCTGCCATTGCCCTAGACGATTTGTTGCCACAAATATTTATGTTAGCCATTGCTATGCCTTTTAATGCTGTTATTATTCTAAGCATTTATGCCGCCCACATCATCGATTTATTTATTAGTTGCATTCATGGTTTCTCAATTTATTGCGGTCACTTTGAATTTATTAAACGTATTTCGCTTGGCCATCGGAAGTGATGTGCTGCAGTTAGTTCCTTGATATTGTAAATTGGTAAGAGGTGTTTTAGTCGATCCTTTTCGGTTTTCGAGTAAATTTGGCTTGGATAATTGTTCACGCCTTTTTAGTGATTCAGATAAAACTTGCCACAAAGAACATTGTTGTGCTGCGTTTGGTGAATTGTCGGCGCATTGTTTGTGGAATATTAAATCTAAAACAGGAAAAATAAATATTATTTAATTAGTAGTTATGTACCGCCATTCGAATTATGACTTCTATAATTTTATAATTGTGGATTGGTGGTGAAAATGTGAAGGTAGACCCCTAAATAGCCAAAGACGAGAAATGTCTACGAAAATGCGTTCTTAAATGTCTACATAAGTATATCTAAGTATAGAATAAATATAACAATTTATTAGTAAAACTATAAAAGACCCTTGAGAAATGCTAAGTTCCCGCAACACATCCACTTTAGAATATGGGTGTCATTATTAACCTACAAATTTTACGCTGACCCAAATGCAAAATGCCTTCCTTGTATCAACTGAATTGCTGACTGACACGAACTCTATTAGAAAAAAATTAGGTCGAACACAAAACTTTTTTCGCACATCTCCTCCACTATCTAAAAACATTATTCGGAATTATTTCCGGAATTCCATATGTAGCTGCAGTTGAACAAGATTACGTCCTAGAGTTAATTCACAAAATTAATTCGGATCAAGGGAATTTTCGAGGACCACACAAAGCAAGTGGGTTTTGGTATCCGTGATAGCCGAGTGGTCAGAACTACAATTCAGTAGCACCCAGGTGCGAGCCCGACTCCGAACGATTCATGCAAATATATTTTAACGTAGAATACGTCTTACGTTTCGATTAAAATGTTGTAGTTGTAATATTTAGAGCTTTACGAAAACGCTCATTACGCGAGAACTAATGAAGCGATTTAAAAGAAAAGTATGGCGTTTCAAAGATATAATTCCAAACCTATCGACAGATAAATATTGGCTTTAAAGTGCTCTAGTAACTTACGATTTGCAGGTAAAACTTTAATTTTCGGGATATAAGTTCTTTGGAGCAATAGAAATATTATCGTGTAAAAATTTTATATAAG